GCGCAGTTTGTGCTCTTTATCAAGGAAATAATCGTCCAACTGAATGTGATAACGCACTTCCAACTTCTACTCCAACTCCAACTTCAACTCCAACTTCAACTCCAACTCCAACTCCAACTCCAACTCCAACTCCAACTCCAACTCCATCTCCAGGCTCGGGAACCATGCCAGTCATTTCTGCTTTTGTTTTCCTTGTCTCATTTGTACTATCTTTCATTCTTTTGTAATCAAAGTTGCTTTTAATAAAATTTCTTCGACACAACTTGCAAACAAACGGCTTAAACTTTGAACATTCATTTTTAAAGTAAAATAACTGTAAATTAGAAATGAAGAAATAAATTTGGCAAAAAGTGGCTAAAACGTGCAAAACATTTCAAACATGCGACATTAGTCAGCATACTCCAGGTCTTTCAGTTCCTGAGTAGGATCCTCGACCACGCCAAAGTAGAGGAACTGACGACTGGTCTTGTCGATGAGGACAAAGAGAAAAGCACGGCTGGCCACCAGCTGATGAGAAGGCTTTGTCTTCTCTTGCGAATCAGCAGCAGGCGAGTCTTCATCCTCATGTACCACTGGCTTGCTCATATTTGCAGTGGTGCCCTCCTCTGAGACCACTATCTGGCAGCCCTGTAGAATATCACTGAGAAAGACTGGCTCTTTGGCGCGATGCTCATTGCCTTCCGCACTGAACATGGACGACTTTAAGTGGGCCCCCGGACTGAAAAGCTGCTTGATGCCCAACGACTTTAGCGACTCGGCCATCTGTTCCATTTTAGTAACTTTGAAGTGCGGAATTTTGAAAAGGACCATCTCTCGGGGCTGCAAACCGCCAAGAATGGTTTGCATTTTAGAGCCAGTAAAGCTGTGAAGAAAGGTGCTCATGTTCTGTCCTTCTTTGGGCAGAATGACCACCAGCGAGAGGTGATCGGTGCCTTTCAGCTGCACTGCTTTGGTGCCGTCGCTGTCCTCGTAGTAGGGCAGAGTGCCCAGTTGGGACATTATGGGCACAGTGCAGTCCATGAACTGGTTGTCTTTGTACACTACGCGAAAGGTGCCGCGCACTGTTTCGTTCACTGGAAATGGACTGCTCCAGAGAAGCTTAATGTCCAGCGCACTGACCGCCACCAAACGACTGTTGGGCGGTAGCAGTGATCCGACGTTGTCAAACTTGTCTCGGGTCTGCTCAGCGACGTCAGTGTTGATCTGTCGAGGAGCCTTCTTGGTGTGCAAATCGAGCGTCTTCCCGGTGATCTGCCATTGACTTTTGATTAAGCCAACAAATTCAGTTGAAAGTGGCCAGCTCTTGTGGGCGTACAGAAACTTGGCCGTCTTGATGTGGTGCCAGTCACGCTCTAGACGTTGTCCTGTTTTGGTGAACTGTTCCGAGAATGTCTCCATCAATGAATCGTTTGATTTAGCTGAACCGAGCAGAGTTGCCGTGAGCTCACTTCGAGTGCTTTCATCTGAGTTGTACATAAAGCTGGCCAGTGGACGCAAAACACCAAGCGGGGAGACTATAGTGTTGACTGAAGCGCTGTGAAAGTGTTTCAGCAGGCGAACTGCAAAATCCGAGGTGCTGGTGGCCAGCGAATCATTCATGGTTACAAGGTTCTTGATGATACCGACGCAAGTGGAGAACCGCACTAAATGCTTATGACAGTCTGTATAATGATGCGTCAGAGTTAAAACTTTTGTAAAAAAATCACAAGTTCGATTAAGTTGCGCAAAAATTAGGAAAAAGTGTATTCGAATACTGTAAACCACTTATAAATGTGAGCGGTTTCAGTGAACTCACTAACATAATGGCCGAAACTGAAATGGATTTGACTGATCGCCTCAACACTGCCAGAATGGAAACTGCCACACAAAACATTGCTGCTGAAAACCGGTCAATACATTCTCAATTTGTCCGTTTTACACTTTGTAAAGTGATCAAACTTTTGCTGCTAGGCCACTGTCTTCTCATTGCCTACGGAGCATTTTCAGAACAGCTCACTTTGCTTCATGATCTTATGCAGACAGCAATCATCACTCTGTTTTACAATTTTGTGACTGCCACCTTTGCGCGGCACACTTCGGTGAGTACTTTAGTAAACACTAGTAGTAAATACTATATTTTTTTCATATCAAACAGATTGACTTCACTGTGGATAATGAATCTTTAGGAGCACGTTGTGTTTCCTGTTTCATCTGGACAGCCGTCTCTTCAATTCAAGTTTACTATACATACAGCAAAGATTTAACCTTTACTTCATTTCTAATATCTGTGTTCAGCACTATCTTTGCCGTTTTCTCCCAAGCTGTAAGTCATCGTAAAGATGCCTTTTCCACACATTCATTTATACTTTTATCTACATTTAGGCGCTGCTCTTTTTCATTCAAGCTCTTTACGGCAACAGAGTTGAGGAGTTCGATATTGGTGATGGTCAATCTGCAGTCGTTTCAATTGCCTTTTCAATTGCCAATTTCTACCTTTGCATTCTGTACATTGTTGAGCAAGGTCATTGAAAATAAAATTACGATTACAAAATTAGCGCCAAAAAATACGTTTGCATTTCGAACTTGCATGAAGCAATAAAAAGCTTGAGCCAGCAAGCTGTAGTTACCACTTTAGCGTCAGAATTGAATTGATTTGCTGCAAAAGCAATCAAAGCTTGTATCAAGAACCATCTTTTGTGTAAAATCTTCTAAGTGTTGAATTGCTACACTGCGAAATGGCCGGTGGATCGTTTGTTGGCTCTATTGCCAAGTTTATTTTGTTGCTCATAAATTTGCACTTTATCTTGGTCTCTCTTGGCCTCATTCTTTTTGGCTCGCGTGTGCATCTGTCAAAGGAGATCAACGACGTGGCCCTCGATGTGGGTGAAGCCTCCATCAGCTGGAGCGCCATTGCTACCGGATGCATTGTCCTTGGAGCCATTTTAGGCATGGTCTCCTTCTTTGGCTTCATTGCTGCTCTCTGCGAATCGGCTTTTCTGCTCTACGCCTATGCTTACTTTCTCCTGTCAGTGGCCCTTCTGGTTGGGTCACTGTACGTCTACCTGGCTATCATTTTCAATACCGAGGGTATTCAGCACCTGCGCAAGTACTACGGCAGTCTGATGGAAAGCTACTACAAGAATGACAATGCTCTGCTCATTGTCGATAACATTCAGACGGCCTTCTTCTGCTGCGGAGATCTGAGTCCCGAAGACTGGCACAACAGCAACCACACTTCAGGAAACAACCATTCGTCTGCTGCTGTCAGTGAGACACCCACCACTGTGAATCCCTTTTTGGAGTTTGAGTTTCCGAAAAGTTGTTGCAAATTGCCTGGCGAGTCGGATCACAAGTGCCTCGCCTCTGACATCGTCTACACCTCTGGCTGCTTTTCATCGGTGCAGGTTGCTCGTTATGAGTACTTCTTTCATGGATACTTCATTGCAACCATTGCCGCCATTCTTCTCTTGCTGACCATCTCCTGCTGCCTTGAGCGCTCTCACGAGCTAAAACGCGCCAAAATTATTAATCTCCAGGTAGTCATAATTGGCAAACTTTGCTTGTTGATTCTTACTCATTTTCTTCTTCTTCTTTCTTTATAGTATTCCGCCCACCTCGAAACTTGCCGTGGCGGGCGTACATCTGCAATTCGTAACGCAGCCTCACACCATGTCCCTGGTGCCGCTTCTGCTCGAGGGACTGCTGATATTTATTAGCAACTTACTAGCACGTGTCCCCGCATTCCAAAAATGGCGTCTTGTGCCATTTACTTTTAAATTTTAAATTTATTGAAATTTTATGCGATAATCGCCTATTTGTCGAAGAAAATTGCTTTATTAATCCTCTATTATTTTAAACAAATTCAATTGAATTATCTCCTGGAGTTGTTGTGAGTTCTAAATTATAATGAGTTTTAGGGCAAGAGGTATACAAGAATGACAAAAGGCTAGCTAAGAGCAACCTAAAGCCACGTCGAGCCTCTGCTTATATGCAGAAGGTAAGGGTTTAAAATGTTCTAAAACACGTCATTAGAACAATACCACCACAAAATATATTTTTAGAATACTTACATTTTGTTTTAAATGTTTGTAAATTTGCAGAATACAAAGAAAAGCTGCCTTTATTTTACCATTTTTAAATTATCAAAATGTCTGGAAACATTGGATCACCAAAGATGATTGTTCGCATTTTGTTTGGTTGCAGCTTGATTGCAGCATTTTGCTGTTATCTAATTGAATTCATTGATGATCAAGAGAGTTACTCATTTTTGGGTATAATTCACATTTACACAGGTCATCACAACGACGCAGGTAAGGTTTTAGCTAGTTTCTACTGAACCCAACTTAACATCACTTATAAAAATCCTACAAGGCTACATTATCCTCTTTATCTTCATTCTCATATGGCTAATAATTGGCGCTGTTGCAGTGGCTTTGGAATACACCATTGCTGCCGTCATCTTTGTCGCTGGAATGATTATTTTAGTCACTGTTGATGGTCTTTACGTCGGCTGGATTGGCGCAATCATCTCAGGATCTCTCGCTATAGTATTTGGAGCGATTTTTGCTGCATTTTCTATGGGATTAGCTGGCAAATGAGTCACAATATAAATTGATTCAAAAACAAGTTTATACTATTTTCTGATTAATTACAACCGTTTAGTCATTTGTTCCATTTCATAACTGACTGTAGAACTTTTGAAAATAATATTTGTAGCATTTCAAAAACTGTTTTTGTTTTATCCACGTCACACTTTAGTGCAACGCATTATGCTATCGGTTCAAATCTTTAAATCTGCTTTGAATGAGTTAGGGAAAAAAACAGAGCTGACTCAGCCTGAAAGCAGTTATGAAGAAATAAGTCTTCCTGGCGCAATTCTACCCTGTGCTTGCCTTATCATAATGCTGATTGTTTTAATTATTTGTGTAAACTGCGCTTCTCAACCGGTGAAACCTGAAACTGATTCTTCTCCTCCATTTCAAGAACCTCAAGTAAAATCAAACATAATTCTGTGTGATTCTGAAATGGTCAAGTTTGAGTACTTGATGATTATTCGAATTGGCTCTTCAACTGAGATATTTTCTAAAAACTCGTGGGTGGACATTGCTATTATTGGAAAAGAAGGCTCAGTTTTGGGCAAAACAACACGGTAACTTGAAAAACTGGCAAACATCAAAATGACTCATTGCTCTTATATTATTTTTTCAGATACAAATGTGAACTATTTCCTGAAACTCGTGGCATCAATGAGCTACACTTGACCATTGGCTACATTGCCTCTTTGCCGCCCATCAAAGGATTGCTTGTCTCGCACAACTTGGACAGTGACTCTCAACTTTTGCTCTATGATTACACGTTGATTGATACTTTGCAAAACACAGTCATAGAAGAACGACTTTTTATGAAGAAAATAACCAAAAAGGCAAAACTGTTAAAAGGACGACCAGCACCTTCCACAAATGACTGGGCGCAACAACTAAAAGAAAAGGCTCAAGAGAATGAGTGGACATGGGTTGAAAAGTCATTGATCCTATCACTTATAACTCTATCAATAGCTTGTTTGGTTATTGTTTTTGAGCAAACAAGCGCTTACTTTTCCTTTTCAGACGAAGATGGCTCTTTGTACCGAAGTTTCTTTGACATACTCTATGTTTCTGTTATTGGATTTTGCCTGCTCGTTTTAGTTATTTCTGCATATAAGTACTGTCTGCGGTAAGTTTAAAGTATTCCCTGCACAAGCAATGAATAAAACGTTTGTTTTTTTTATTTCAGACAAAAAGTTACAAAATCTGCCTTCTTTGACTGCTGTTCATTCGCTTTTTTGTCTTTCTACATGGTCATTTCATTTGTATTGGCAGGAATACTTTTATCATTTGGAACAATTATTTCTTTTCCAAAATCACTTTTCTGGCTTGGCTCTACATATAACATCTGCGTCGTTGTTTTTGGCTTTTGGTGCCTTTACATCAGTTTTTGTGAGTTTTGTGTTCAAGATAACTTGAAAAAATCAATGTATTTTGGCGAAGATGACACTGAAAGCTTTTTGGCGCAGTTCGAACCAGATACTCATGACCGACACGCTGATCGCAATGTTCGCACTGAAAAAACAACTTACCTTGATGGAAAGACTGCCATGACCAACTGTGAGAAACAGACTGTTGCAACAAACGTATCTTTTGGGCCAAAACTGATCAACATAAAACCCAAAAAGGCTGGATTATCTCAGAAAATGGCAAATTCCATTGCCAAATGCAAAGAAATCTTGGTACAAAAAACAATACTAGACAACAGCAACTGTGTATCAAAACGAATAGACAAAAAGATATCTACATCTCTTTCAAAAGGTACACTTATAGTTTTTAAACTCATATGTTATTAAAATATTTTTTTTCAGACAATAATGGCAACGTTACAACAGCAAACAGNAGACAAAAAGATATCTACATCTCTTTCAAAAGGTACACTTATAGTTTTTAAACTCATATGTTATTAAAATAATTTTTTTTTCAGACAATAATGGCAACGTTACAACAGCAAACATCAAAGGAAAAGTTAAAGTCAACAAAACTTGATTGTTTTCAAACAAGATGCCGTTCTTTTTTATTCAAATTTTTGACATT